GTGTGCTATTACTTAATACGCACAGTTTCCTTTGTTTGATATCCTCGTGAACTCTTGATCTCGTACTGTTCTTCTTTTTTGATGCCAAGTTATTTGTTTTATTAAGGTTTTTATTTATATTCAGCTTGGGTTGACTAACTTGGGTGGTGCTGGAGTTGTTGACAGAGGAATCTTTACCCCGTACTTTCTCGTCGTCAGGCTCGAAGGGTTGAGAGGAGGCATCGAGGGTGGGTTGCAATACTTGATTTTCAGAGCCCTGCTTTGAAGGAGGTCTGCTGTTGGTAATTTCCTGGTCATTATGACTTGTGCTCGGTTTAGAAAGTGTTTGAGCTGGTGTAGAGCAGCGTCCCTTTCTTTTATTAGCACGCGATGATAATGGGGTCATGCAGAGACCATCTGATAGTGCAAGATTCTTGTAAGCTTGAGTTGTTTGCAAGCTTTTGTTCAAATCACATTTTAAGCGATAGTTTTCCAAGTTTAGATTTTCAATTTCTTTGTGAGCAATATCTAGTTCTTTACTTAGACTGTCTATCTTTTCTCTTAAGTCATAAATAGTTTGGCTATCATTTAAAGACGTGTTCGGTAAACTTGTCATAGTAGCGTCGAATAGATTTGTGTCTGTTTTCGAAACATCATTTAAGGAGAGTGTGAGGTGGGGTTTTCTTTTGCGTAAAGTAATATTTTTGTCGAGCTCCATGTTTTCGTATTTTATATTTAGTGACTATTTTTATTTTCTACCAAAATACTTTTTTTTTTTTTTATTCTGGTATCTCTAGTTTTTTGTGGCAACACTTTCCCCTTTTTTTTTAATGGTAACACTGGTCAATATGTCAATTTTATTTCTGCTACTTGACACTAGATGGCGATGTTCGGTATGAAGTATTTATTATTTGTAGTAGCAACCCTAATGTTAATGTCAATTTTTAAACGTCAATGTCAATATTTGTTTCGCTACTCTCTACTAGGGGCGCCACTTATGGTACAAAGTTCACTTTTAAAACAAAAACATTACACTTAACCGTTTTTTATACAGTTATAAGTAATTAATTCACCCTTTATTATGTTTTTAAATGTTCCACTGACGAGAATACATTTGTACAGTTCGCATACACTTGCTTTGTCAGTGATTAGCACTTTTTTGAAACACAATAACGTTTAACAGTTCAAATATTAGATACAATGTTTTTATTGCATATCTTGGTGTATAGAAGTCACCAACAATTGCACTTATGTGGTTTGATATGCCTATTATGATTCACTACAACACACATCACTTGTACTATGATTAATATTTGTTTCGAGTTTTAAATACGCGGGCGATGTTTACTCAATGCTGTGTTGCCAGCCTTCTTCCATGCTGTGTTGCCAGCCTTCTTACATATCTAAATAAAATAATTATTATATATTCACATAATTTACTAAATCTATTATATCACCTGTTCCTGTTTCGGATTGGGTGGGAGGGCTGAGCACCGCCGTGTCCTCAGGGATGTGATCGGCGACGGCGACCTCTCGCGTCCGGCTCTGGTTCAGACCATGGTACGGAGCGAAGGGACTGGGATGCCGTCTCCTCCTTCTGCGAAACAGTCATGCTAGCCAAGGAGGAGGCAGAGCGCAGGAGGGAACGAACCACCTCACGCCCCAGCCGTCGAGAAAGACACTCCGGGCGTCGGAGATCGCGAGACAATCTCCGGCCACCGTAAGCACGGGCCTGTGGACGGCGAGCATGGGTGACTCGCCGCCCGACCAGAACCAGGCCTAAGCGTACGGCGCGTCGCCTTCCGTGCGCGCCTCAAGGAGCCATCAGATCACTACAGATGGGGCCCAATAGGGCTGATGCCGATACGGAGCCGCGGGAGACTTAACGGGTTGCCGGGGCTCCGGCTCGAAGTGCAGGAGTAGGAACGGGGTGGTTTTTAGTCAGTAAGTGTCTAACACTTTTCGCGCCTTACCCGGGCGGGAGAAGTCATTGGATGATTATCCCCCTCAAAAAAAAAGAAAGATACCTCCCTATACAATTACATGACCATAAAACTAATAAACCTATTCCATAAATTATAAAAAAAAATAATATCTTAGCACAGGTACGTACCACAGCCTAAGTTACGGGTCTAATCAAAATCAAAGAATAGAAGCTAATAGGTTGATGAAGTACCTACCTGATACCAATAGGATGACGAAGCAGGAAAATTGTAAGTCACGCAAACTTGTACTTTACGTTCTGCGTAGCAACGTCTTCAGTCTGATAAGTATTTTGTCATAAAACCGTAACATACATATGTCTATCTAATGCAATGACTCTTCATATTTCAAGAATTTTCCGGTTAAAAATAATTGACGTAAATTCCGTAAAATAATCAATAAATAAACGAGTTAATGATGAAAAAAAATGACATGCAGTTTAGAATCTTTTTGCCAACAGCTTATTTTGGTGAATGTATAGCGCGTCGCATCAAACTTCCTTGTGCGTACTGCTAAGGAGTGGAATTCTTTGCCATAGTCTGTATTATCTTGGGTGTCTTCAAGGCCCAAGTGAATAGGTTGCTTATGGGACGACGTGCTCCATCGTAGACCGCATCATCACTTACCATCAGGCGAGATAGTGGACAAGCCCATCAATTATAAAAAAAGAATTAATTTTACGATGTTAGTCACTTAATTCACTATCATAATCTGCTATAGTGCTCGTAACTATTTAGTTACCACTTTATGATGTGATAGCTATAAAAAAGCTGCGGTATTCAGGTACCCATTGCCATTCTTCTTGCAGCAGATTTCTTTGTGCACAATCGTGGCTGTCGACCAGATTAGTACTTTCTTTTTTGAAAAAACTTTGCCCCACATTAGGGGATATTCTTCTGTGTCGTGAGTGCGTTTACAAACATACAAGTTTACATATACTATGACACCCAGACCCGAAACAATAATTTATGGATCACACAAAGTGTTGTTCCTTGCGGGAATCGAACCCGCGACAAGTTGTACGGCAGCCGGTTGCCCAGCCATACTAACTGTGCAGTCGCAGTTAGTTATTTGCAGGTTTTATTTGGTGCATCTAACAAATTGGTGACCTACGGTGCTCTTGTTCCTTCAACCTGAAATAGGTTGAAGGAACAAGAGCACCGTACTATACTCAACGGTAGAAGTTTTAACATAATTATAATAACATATTATTAGAAATAAACCCAGATTTCCTCACGATGTTTTCCTTCACCGTTTGTTATTTAGACGTTATTTAGATATTATTTATACACCACTGACAAACGGTGAAGGAAAACATTGTGAGGAAATGATAGGTACATATTCCAATACTGTACGTATTTGTGAATACAATGCAAAGACACACTTGAGGCATTTTACTAATAACAAAACTTAGGTACTAAAATAAAAAAAAATAAAACAAAAAAGAATCTTGTATTCTAACATCGTGCAACTTAAAATTGAGTAACGTTTCAGAATTCGAGCATTAATATGACAAAAATAAAAAATATATAACACTCAATCACAATAAGCAGTCAACGAGACTAGTCAAACATGGCGGAGACGTAGTAATTAATAATTCACATGTATATTTGCGAAGGTTATATGTACGTACATAGTATGGCATAGGCGCACTCTTTGCTCCTTCGCTCTCCTAATCTGATGAGACAAAAAATCAACGATACCGGTTAAATAACTAATAGTTTACATGTTAGTTCTTATATATACCGGTTTACAGCATGAGCTGACTAATAATTGTATGTTATACATAGCATTTTCTTAACCGACTTCAAAAATATACGAGGTTCTCAGTTTTACCTGAATGTATGTATGTTCGTACGCGATTACCTCGTAATTAGCTGAACCGATTTTGATGCAGTTTCCAGAAAAGAATCTTTACACTTTTTTTAAGTAGGGAAAACTATCGAATGACTTCTCCCGCCTCGGTGAGGCGGGAGGGAGTGTCAGACTCTTACTGCCTAAAAACCATCCCGTTTCTTCTCCTGCCCTTCGAGCCGTAGTCCCGGTAACCCGTTTAGTTCTCCGCAGCTCCGTATCGGCATCAGCCCTATTGGGCCCCATCCGTGGTGGTCTGTTGGCTCTTTGAGGTGCGCGCGGAACGACACGCGCTGTACGCTCGGGTCTGGTTCTGGTCGGGCGGCGAGCCACCCACGCTCACCGTCCGTAGGCCCGTGCTTACGGTGGCCGGAGATCCTCCCGCAATCCCCGACGCCCAGAGTGTCCTTCGCGACGGCTGTGAGGAGGCAGCGCATCGCTGCCACACGCGCCCCGCCTCCTCCTTAGCTAGCATCACTACTTCGTAAAAAGACGAGACGGCATCCCAAGCCTCTTCGCTCCGCATCATGGCCCGGACTAGCGCCGGACGCGAGAGGTCGCCGTCGCCGATCACATCCCTGAGGGCACGGCGGTTCTCAGCCCACGCAGGGATTTTTCCCACTTAGGAGAAGGGTTTAGTTACTTAAAAAAAATGATTTTTCTTTCTTTCTTTCTTTACTTAATATAATTAACAGACTTCAGAAAAAGAGGGGGTTGAAGTCGGTTTTTTCATACGTAGTTTATAAAAGAATTAGGTATTTAATTACATAACATAACATGACATAACATCACGCCTTTTATCCCCGAAGAGGTAGGCACTATTTATGTTATGAGTCTCATGTAATAAGGGGTGAGCCTATTGCTATATACCGGGCAGAATTCCAGACTCCCTGCTGCTACTGAGATTATTTTTTAGAATCCCAGTAATACTTTGCCCGACCCGGGAATCGAAACCGAGACCCGGAGTCGCACTTGCGAGCACTCGGTCAACGATGTCTGCAGCATGTTTCTTACGTATTGTACAATAATCGTGACTTAGCACATTTTTAGCATCTATTGGTATTATCAAACAAGTTCCAAAAGCATCGATGAGATTAAAATAGATATGAGTCAGATAATCACACATTTTTTTGTTATTTAAATGAACAGACTTGACGACCTCGACGTATATTGAAACGGTAAGCACACCGTAACAGTCACATCATACGTTATAAGTACATTTTTAAAAATTAACATTAATAATTTATTTCATTTTTATGAATGAAAAATAATTTTATTTGAATAGTGAATAATTATAAATAAAAATGGCGGATTTGAAGCGTGTTTTGTTTGGAATTTTTCTACTGTTTTGTTCGTGTGAGGCGTACAGGATTTTAACTATTTTTCCTGTGCCCAGTACTAGCCATGGCATCCTTGGAGACAACATGGTTAAACATCTTCTAAATGCTGGACATGAGGTAAGTATTGAACGATTTCCTATATTTTTCATTAATTCATAACATCACGCCTTTTATCCCAGAAGGGGTAGGCAGAGAGAGCTCATTATGCTGTACAATGTAACATCCACTTTTCACTTTTTATGTTACGACTCCCATGTGAGCGAGCCTATTGCCATATACTGGGAACAATTCCGGACTCCGTAACGAGTTTTATAAAACCCAGCAATACGTTGGTCAACCTGGGAAACAAACCCGGGACCCTCGGCCAACGATGCAAATTTCCTCAAACTTCAAATTTTTGCTGCTGTGAATTATTACAATTAGGTAAATCTTTTTACTTTACCGGGTCGTGACCTCCTGAGAACTAAACAAATAGTAACGTAAATAACAAATGATTAGATACGTCATCAGTGTGTTTAAAATACAGTGGTTTGTTTGTGTACATGTGTAATATACAGGTGTCTCTAAATATGTGCTTACTATACCTATTTATAGACTTTGTTTTATTGTCTAAAACAAATAACTACTATACCTATTTACAGAATAACGACTTTGTTTTATTGTCAAAAACAAATTAAACTACATTCCTATGAATGTAGGATGTGTTAAAGATATAGCCATCCATAACCTTTCTTCCAGCATGAAAGTTAAAGAATTTTTTTTTCAATTTTAATCTCAATCTTTACCCTTAGCAAAACATCTTCACAATTATTTTTTTATTTATCATAGATTAAATTCACAAACATACTATCAAATATATTATCTCATGTTTGTTCGTCTATCAACGATCGAATTGATTATTTTGTAGAATATGATTCCTGTTTTGTCGATTCAATCGATAAAATAGGAATCATATTCTACACGGACAAAGTTCCTAACAACAGCAATTAACACACAACGAAATTATTAAATTTCCAATCAATAAATTGCCTTATCTTAATTAATGTGAAGGTATTTGAATTATCAAACTAACGCACTTGTAACGTGATTATGATATAATGTTCAAATTTTCAAATGTTTTTGTACAAAAATGATATTACGCATATTTAACTCAAATAAAAAAGAAATGTAATTCCTGTCTTAATTATTTCTTTCGTCGTTTTTTTTACTTTTTTTATTTTAGTTTTTACTCGCCAATTTGGAACATAGAAAAATAATAAGTTCAAAACCTCATTTCAAGGAATTCTTATTATAAATATATTCAAGTTAGTTACTAGTTCTCATAAAGTAACAGTTTGCTATTGTTTAAAAAACTAAATAAAAATAATTATAATCCCAAAATAACCACAATTACCATACAATAGGTTTGACGACAGGGATTTCCCATTTCCTCTTTGGACAGGGAATAAAAATTAAACAACTAGAGAGTTGCTGTCCGTCAATTACAAAATAAAAACGTGTAAAACACGGAATTTATTTTATTTGGGTTGCTCGTTTTATTAGATTTTTTTTTTATTTTTTTAAAACGTTGCCCCACACTAGGATTATCTCCTGTGTCGTGGGTGCGTTTACAAACATACAAGTTCACATACACATGACACTCAGACCCGAACCAACAATTTGTGGATCACACAAAGTGTTGTTCCGTGCGGGAACAACCCGCGACACGTTGCACGGCAGCCGGTTGCCCAGCCACCGCACCAACCGTGCAGTCTTTTTTTATTTTTATTTATTTAGCTATGTATTGGAAAACCAATAGCTACACATGGCAAACAAATAGTGGCAAAATAACAACATGCGATATTTAATTTGTGTAAATTTAGTGAAAAATATTTTCGTTTAATCTAGATAGCAAGCAGACACTTATGCACTGCTATAGTAACTGGACTCGTTGAGCGATGCAAATAGCTACATAAAATATTAAATTTAACAAGTTAGTTTCACGAATAAAGTCGTGAGCCCTAACTTACATTCCAAACTTCTGAGAAATTATGTAGAAATCCTAAGAAAATATCATTTAATTTACAACCCTAAAATTAATAACAATAAGTATCTTTTGTTTTTAGGTTACATACATAACACCTTTTATTAATAAGAAGAAGTACGATCATCCGAATCTGAAAATAATTGATGTCTCTGCTAATGAAGAACATTTTGATGGTGAGTACCAACATAACTTGAAACTCTTTGAAATAAATGGAGATGAGAATTATAATAGATAAATTAATATTACTGAGAAATTGTAAATTTATAATTGTGAGGTGACCATTTTTCAACCATAAAGTTACTTCTCTCTCTCTTTCTCTTTAAATAATTAATGTTGTAACCAGCAAATGTGGTGCTGGTAGAAAATCGAAAAGAAGAAGTGTTCACTCATAACATCACGCCTTTTATCCCCGAAGGGGTAGGCGGAGGTGCACATTATAGCACTGTACAATGTAACACCCACTTTTCACTATTTATGTTATAAGTCCCATGTAATAGGGGGTGAGCCTATTGCCATATACCGGGCACAGTCTAAGTTAAAGTGGTGTCAGAATAATCAACAACAGATAAAAATGGATATCATAGCGAAACTACACTCAAACAAGAAATTCGGTCAGTTCTGGAAAAACACCAATAAAATGAATCATAAGCCGGGCCTCCCCGTGAGCGTAGCGGGAGTGCATGAGCCTAGTGAGATCGCCGCTATGTTCTCCCACCATTTCAGAGCAGGCTCTCCTATGGGGCTAGCGCGACAGGAGCCCGATGTTGAGGAAAGTAGTATACGTAGTGTTTATTTTACTACGAAGGAAGTGCGTACGGTGATCAGAGGCATGGTGAGGGGTAAATCCCCGGGTCACGACAGCCTTAGTATCGAGCACCTACAGCATGCAGGTGTACACCTGCCCAGGGTTCTTTCTATGTTTTTTACCTTGTGTTTAGGTCACTCCCACCTACCTGATAATTTAATGCGTACTATAGTTGTACCAATCATCAAAAATAAAACTGGTGATACATCAGATGTAAACAACTATAGACCGATCTCTCTGGCCACAGTGATCGCCAAAGTACTGGACAGTCTGCTTGGTCAGCAACTGGATAAACACGTCTCGCTAAGAGACGCGCAGTTCGGCTTTAGGCCTGGGCTTTCTACCGAGAGTGCTATTCTGTGCCTCAAGCAGACTGTACGGTATTACACGACTAGGAGGACCCCAGTATACGCTTGTTACCTTGATTTATCGAAAGCATTCGATCTTGTATCGTACGATATTCTGTGGGGGAAATTAAGGGATGAAACTTGCTTACCTAGGGAAATTGTGCGGTTATTCATGCATTGGTATAGCAATCAAAAGAATTTTGTTAGATGGGCCGGATCTCGCTCGGAGGAGTACAGGCTGGAATGCGGGGTGAGGCAGGGGGGGTTGACCTCTCCCACGCTCTTCAACCTGTACGTCGACCGATTGATCGATGAGCTCAGCAACACCGGCATCGGGTGTCATATAGATGGAGTGTGTGTGAATAATATCAGCTATGCAGACGATATGGTGCTGCTGAGCCCATCGATTGGTGCCTTGCGCGGGCTCCTGAAAATTTGCGAGTCCTACGCGGTGGCTCATGGGCTCAAATACAACGCGAAGAAAAGTGAAATAATGATTTTCAGACCAGATAACAAGCGTTACAATTTTGTTCCAAATTTCACTTTATGTGGCATAGCTCTGAACAAAGTCGAGCAATTTAAGTATTTGGGCCACTGGGTCACTGAGGACCTTAAGGATAGTGTGGATATTGAAAGGGAGCGTAGGGCGCTGTGTGTCCGGTGCAACATGTTGGCACGTAGGTTTGCACGGTGCACGGGGATTGTCAAAGTTGCGCTCTTTAAGGCGTATTGTCAGTCTTTTTACGCCTGCGGCCTGTGGGTTGACTTCACGCAGCGGACATACAGCGATCTGCGCGTTCAATATAATAACGCGTTCCGGGTGCTGATGGGGCTGCCGCGGCACTGCAGCGCTTCTGCGATGTTCGCGACTGCTAACACAGACGGCTTTCCAGCCATCATGCGCAAACGGTGCGCTTCAATCATGCGCCGCATGCGCGACAGTCCCAACGGCATCTTGTGCGCGCTGGCGGATCGGTGGGACTCTCCGATGCTGGCTCGCTGGATAAGGCTGCATGCAGTTGTATAGTGTTTTGCCACCATCATCGGGGAGTCCACCCGGACCCGCCACTACAAGTTAGTGCTCAATTGGATTAGACGTGATCAATAGTTATTATTATTACTAACACTAGTTTGTAAGCTCGCAATTGTACTAACACATATGGATATAAATCTGAAATAAATGATTATTATTATTATTATTATTATTATTATTTATCGTAGGTCAATTAAAAATCTACTATGAGGTACCTCATCATTATTTCATTAGAACCCTGTAGTCAGAGGAAAGTTAGTTTCAATACATCATTCTTTAATCACCCTTTCTGCAGAATGAACCCTTAATAAAACATAATCAACCTAAAAGCTACGGAATCTTTATTACAATCGCTATCGATGGCACTCAAAGAGAACAATTTGTTTGTCATTTACTACTAGATTTTTCCCAACAATTCCGTTTTTTCTTCTCATTCCCGCAGGATTTTAGATAAATTCTTAGCACAAAACTATCCTATATCCGTATCCTGGTCTAAAGGAATCCTCTCCACTAATATTCAGCCAAATCAATTCAGCTGTTCTCGAATTATAAATAGTGTTAACTCACACGACTTTGTTATATAATTATATAGAGGTAGATTTAATAGTGATATTTAATCCTCTTCTATCCCATTTCAGTATCAATCCTGGTCCAGAGGAAAAATTATACGCAGAACTCGTAGCTCCAATTCTGAAATCTCAAGGAAAGCCAGTGCCAAACTATGAGGAACTCAAATATAACGCTTCTTTAGTATTAGGTAATTCGCAAGTGGTATTCGGCAACCCTGTACCTTTACCACCAAACTACCAGCATATCGGAGGCTACCATATTGATGAAGATGTTAAGCCTTTACCAGAGGTAAGCATAGAATATAAGTATAGAACAATTATAGTTATATATATTGTTTATTTACTACCTCAAATAAGTCGGGTTTTCCTGACGCTATAACTCCAGAACGCATGAGCCGATTTCCACGGTTTTGCATTCGTTGGAAAGGTCTCGGGCTCTGTGGGGTTTATAGCAAAGAAAGTTCACTTTAAGATAATCACCAAACTAAATGATACATAAAACGAAGCCATCGGGTGGCGAAACGAAGTTCGCTGAGTTTGCGAGTTGTCTGTAGATTTGTTACTATGGCTCCAATTGACAAAAAACACAAAATGAATTAAATTGACAAAATAACAAAAATGCCTTATTCTTCCCTGCTCATGCTCAATATTCCAAAACATTTTTGTGTAACTAGGTATCTTTAAATTAATCAAAATACATTCTATTTTCCAGGATCTGAAGAAGTTAATGGATAATGCCAAAAACGGTGTTATTTACTTCAGTCTTGGATCTAACGTCAAAAGCAAAGACTTGCCAGAGAACATGAAAGAAGGTCTCTTGGAGTTGTTTGGAAAACTCAAACAGACCGTTATTTGGAAATTAGAAAAGAATTTGGACAATCCGCCTAAGAACGTGCATATAGTGCAGTGGGCACCGCAGCAGAGTTTGTTGGGTAAGTTATAGACATAACATCACGCCTTTTATCCCCGAAGGGGTAGGCAGAGGGGCGCATTATGCCACTGTACAGTGTAACGCCCACTTTTCACTATTTATGTTATGAGTCCCATGTAATAGGGGTGAACCTATTGCCATTGAGAATTTATAAAAACCCAGTAATATTTTGCCCGACTCGGGAATCGAACCCGAGACACCTTGCCCGGCAGTCGCACTTGCGATCACTCGGCCAACAAGGCAGTAAGTTATAGCTCTCGATAAAATGAGTAGTAAATAAATAAATGTAATTTACAGACGACGAATTCACGACCGAGTCACCAGGTCAAGAAATATTTTTGGGATAGTTGTAATTTTCTCATACATGGACATACATAATTATGATTAAGTATATGCACTTGTGTCAGAAACTCTAAAAATATAACTTCTAAATAATCCCAAGAATTATAATTATTTTAAATTAAAGAGCCAAACGTGAGATCTCATACTCTAATAATCGTAATTTCCAGAGATCAAGTACCTAATACAATTGTAAAATGGAGCCTGGCCTGACTTTTAATAACTAATTTGAATTTTCTCTTTTCTTCCAGCTCACCCGAATCTAGCACTGTTCATATCACACGGCGGTCTTCTATCAGTCACTGAAGCTGTCTACTTCGGCAAACCTTTCATCGCCATCCCAGTCTTCGCTGACCAGTTCCTCAACGCCAACAGCTTCCAGAAGATGGGTGCAGCTGTTAAAGTGGACCTTACTTACAATTTACATAAGGACTTGGAAATTGCTTTGAATAAAGTTCTGCCAGAACTACCGAAGTAAGTAACTTATAATAATGTTGGACAATGGATTTCAATTTATTTAATGCATAATATCATAACATCACGCCTTTTTACCCTCGAAGGGGTAGGCAGATGTGCACGTTACGACACTTAATGCTACTGTACAATGTACCACCCACTTTTCACAATTTATGCTATGAGCCCCATGTAATAGGCTGATCCTATTGCCATATACCGGGCATATTTCCAGACTCCGTGCTACTGCTGAGAGTTTTAAAAACTCAGTAATACTTTGCCCGGTCTGGGAATCGAACCCGAGACCCCTTTCCCAGCAGTCGCACTTGCGACTTCTCGGCCGACGAGGCAGTATATTTAATGATTTGATTATTATCGTTATCAAACTTGACAACTAAATGCGTTTAATTTCTGTACTTACAGGTACACAGCAAAAATAAAAGAGATTTCTGCAGCCTATCATGACAGTCCGATGAAGCCAAAAGACGCGTTGAACTTCTGGGTGGAGCACGTGGTGCGCACGCGCGGTGCCCCGCACCTGCGCTCAGTGGCGCTACAAGTGCCGCTGTACCAGCAAGCGTACCTAGATCTGTTAGCTGTACTACTAGCAGCTGCTGTTATTATATTACTAGTGATTAGGAGAATTTTAAGTTTATTTACATCAGAGAGTCCTAAACTGAAAAGGAATTAAAATGCTCCAAATATTGTACAAATCCCTACGAAACTTTGCATGAAGTTTGTTTAAAAGCATGGATTATTAATTTTGGCCAGATTTCAATGGTGATGTACTTATCTAAGTCGCAGGCCACGCTAGTGCGATGCGTCGTCTACAATGGGTGGAAAAAACAATCATGTGGGTGGACCGGGTGCGCTACGTTGGAGCAACTAGCAGTCCCCATTCAGCCGCCATGGTTATTTTGCGAATGCATACTGGAGGCAGTTTAGTGAATAATCTCGCGTATGCTTGATGTAACCAGATTTAATGACCTATAAACTTTTTAATAATACTGCTAAACAATTGTGACTGACAAAAAGATGATAATGGACGTGCAGTTTTTTTCGATCCATGCTTGAACAAGTTAATTATAACTTATTTTGTGTGCTAACGTGATGACTTGTAGAATTAAAGATTTAGTTTGGTTTGCGTGTATTGGAGTTTTAAGTGATATTATTTATTAGTATGTCATGATCATGAAGTAGATACAAAGTGATTGTCTGATACATTTTGGTATCTGAATTATATTTAGTGTGTGTTTTAATATTTGTTGTTCTCATTTTATTCTTTATCTATATTCAGCTTGGACGATGATTACGTAAGCAAGGGACGGTAAAATAAAACAAGTTTAAATTATGTCAAATTTAAATTCATAATATAATTGAGGTCATAGATATAATGGCTCATCTTGGTGGAGCCACTATCATGGTTTCAGATATGATTACATGTGTTATTTAAAGTTTATTTTAATTATAAGGTACTTAATTACAAGCGATTGAAGTAATTAAGTTAATAAAAGTATTTAATGTGTATATACAAGATACTAAATTGTTTTAAGTCACATTGTAATAATAGGGTAGTGGCCTAAATTTTATTTTAATGTGCGTCTGGTAGATTTTTTTAAAAGATTAATTTAAAACATTGTTCTTTTCTTACAAAATTAAATACTTTCGATATATTAATCTGAAATATTGTGTGGCGTCACAATGCACCACATTTACTAGCACTTTGTGTCACTCGGTACTTTTGACGTAACGACCTCCCATTCCTAAACTTAACTTCATTTTATCTAAGTATTAAAAGTGAATACTTAGATATATACGAGAAAATAAAAAAAAAAAATTTTTGTTATTTAACTGACGGACCAATTAGATTTTTATTTTTCATTCCCTGGCAACTACCCTATTCGTGCCTAAAACCATAAAGAATACTAAAAGATTTTACTAAAAATAAAAAAAAAATATATTTTGTTTGTGATAATATATTGTATGATTCGAGGACCAAGTGTGAAAGAGCCATGCTTCGGCACGAATGGGCCAGCTCGACCAAATTGATACCACGGCCTCACAGAAAACCATAGTGAAAGAACGCTTGCATTGTGTTTCCTAGTGTGAACCAGAGGCCCAATCCCCGCCTACCCAATCTCTCCAATCCCCGAATCCCCAACAATCCTCGAATTCCTAACCCTTTTTTTAAGAGGGGAAAATCATTGAATGACTGCTGCCTGGGTGAGGCGGGAGAGAGTGTCAGACTCTTACTGACTAAAAACCACCCCGTTCCTTCTCCTGCACTTCGAGCCGGAGCCCCGGTAATCCGTTAGGTTCTCCGCGACAGGAAGGCATATACTGGGAAGCAGTTTATCATTAGTTATATTATTAAGCTAACTCTAATGATACTCTCCAAACGTGTATTACTAGATATGTGCATAAGTAGGTACTAGAAATCTAATCAGTACTTAGGAATTCACGTGCACGTCCACTTATAAATTTTAATTTTATATACCTACATATAATTTTATATGGCAATAATAATTACGTTTAAAAAACCGAGTTTCAGCTTTTCTTTTTTGAAGTCGGTTAATTAATATACTAAAGCCTTTTTCTAAATGTAACAAACACTTATCTGAAAAATCCTACGGGTACGGGAGAAAACGGGATTGCGCGTACGAAGTTGCGGGCAGAAGAAGAAGAAGAAGAAGAAGAAGAAGAAAGAAAAGCCATTTATTTCTGCGCAAAACACACAACATAATTATTTAAACTGTCAAACACCAAGCGGTCACCGGTGACCGCTACCTATTGTTCTATAATGACGGTACTCGACGAGTTAAAAAATAAAAAAGAAAACAAAAAAAGAAAAACAGAAGCTAGTATAAAAGGAAACAAAATGTTAATATAGAACCCAAAACAAAACACGACTAACAAACAAGTAGGAAATACATAGGTAGTCTCCTGAGTAGGATATCTGGTCGACAGTTGTTTTAACCTTAGCAATCAAATGAATGGCATTCCGACACGAAGGCATAAGTATTTGTAAGATATATTATGTGTTAAGTGATACGCGCTAATCTCCGTAACTATAAGTCTCATTTGAATAATTCTTTTTGTGTTGAATAGCGCATTTATCGAGGATGGCTATGGGCTATATAACATCACGGTACGATCAATAGGAGCTGAGCAGAGCGTGTGAAACCGCGCAGAAGTAGCTAGTCAATGATAAAAGTCGATATTTGAAATCTTTTTTAGAACAAAACACTTACATTAATATTATTTAAAAAAATAATATACCCTACACTATAGTTTGCTCCTGTGTCGCGTTTACACTCATACAAGTTCATAAATACATGACACCAAGACCCAAATAAAAATTTGTTGTTCACACAATAACCCAAACTAAAAATACGAGTATAGTATTTATAATTAAACTGTCAAACACCAAGCGGACACCGGTGACCGCAACCTATTGTTCTATAATTGTGTCTATAATGACGGTACTCGACGAGTTAAATTATTACATGAACATTAAACACATTTCATTAGTCCACTTCCACTTATCGAATGAGAAACTGCACAACTGGGTTCGATTAACTAAAAACTATTTGAGTAATTCAGAAAATGTTGACATGCGTCTTATTTCTATCGATATGCAATTCAATAGAATATATTAGGTATGTGTATGTACCGAAGCTATTTCGATGAGATCGTGTTTTCAAGAACAAAGCATTCTGAGGGTAATTAAATAGACATTATAGTTCAAACAGATAAACGCATCGTCAAGAAATAGTCGGTCATTCTAATTTTAAACACAGTCGCATGGTCACTTTGCTCCGTATGTGACCGTTCGAATATACAACAGACGAAACATAACGTACAATTTTAAATTTCGAATGAATTCTGTGATAATTTAATTTTAATTTTATTTATGAATTAATGAGTTATCTAGTCTATTTTTTATAATAAGTATATTTTGTTCGTTGTAGGAATTTTATGTCTATATTTTGGAACAATGGAAAAATTAAAATATTTTTTGTTTTGTGTACTTATAAGTTTGTGTTCGTGTAATGCTTACAAGATCTTGGCTGTGTTCCCTGTGCCGAGCCCCAGCCATGGGATCCTTGGAGACAATATGGTCAAACATCTTCTAAATGCTGGACATGAAGTAAGTAGCAATGAATAGTGTTAATTTCCTTTCATATTATAATAATTTTTGGGTTGTTTTTTTAAATTATAGGTACGTAAAGTATAATTAAACTGTATAGGTATGTTTAAGGCCTGTATTTTGTACAAACGTGATCAAAAAAAAAAGACATTTGAATTTAGAAAATATTTTTAATAAATAGGAGATAAATAACTCTAATTAAAATTTTATAATCTTGCTTTAATTTTGTAAGCCCATCCACGATTAGTAATTTAAAATCTGGATAAATTCAGTGATGCTAACAGTCAGTAAGAAAGAGTTGAAAAAAACATCAAAAAAACGCAGAGGTCTGTATAAAAAAATGTAACAAAAAAGTTTCTAGTAAAAATTACATAACATCAGACACAACCAAAATACAAGAATTCTGGTTTGATACAGTTGTTCTAAAATGTACTTAAAAAATAATTATTTAAATTGTAATAATTGTGTAACTCATTTGTCTATATACCACGATAACAGACTCCAGTATGGATCACATTGTCTTGAGCTGAATAATAGATATGAAATACTTACTGAAACAATGATTCTGAAATGGTATGAAAGATATGTATGTTCCAGTGTCACGAATCCCATGCATCTTTTAAATTGTGTTAGTATATGGCAGATAGAGGGCAAGTTACATACCGATACTTTACTTAATAATATATAAAGCCGACGAGTTTGTTTGTTTGTTTGAACGCACTGATCTCCGGAACTACTAGTCAGATTTGAATAGTTATTTGAGTTGGATAGTTCATTTAAAAAAGACTAGGCTTTAAAATATTAGTGTTTCGACCCCACAGTCAAACCATTGCAACGGTTTTGTGAGGCTTGAATTATAACATACTTACCTGTGTGATTTAAAGATAAATAAATAATACTAATAATAAATAAAATTACGCTATGACCAAGTGTAAGAGTAGCTAGTCTTTCATATGCACAGAAAGCATAACATAACATGTGAATTAATTAATGATACATTAGGTGCCTGTTCGCACAGTACAAAAAAAGACGCAATTCTGTAACACGAATTAATCATTATAAGTCCGCACAGGCGATAAAAATTCGCATTTGTTGTGATTTCATTCGAAGACGCTACACGAAGCGAAATTTTATTTTTCCGTATGACTACGTCCATATTAAGTACAACCCAACTAATAATTCGTTCCTCCACGATCGTTCATGTTAATTGATACCAAATAAGCATACTTCTACATCTCCATTTGTGTCTAATCTAAAACTAAAACTCGTATGATCGGAAAAGATTCTGATAAACTTTTTTAACCAATTGAGGACCAAAACCATTAATATATATATGATGAAGATGCCAACAATAATTATTTTTCGCACCTTGAACCCTGAAATCAAAGGCGAGACTTTTTATAGTTGTCAATATATGTAGGTACCTCTATAATTAAGTAATTCAAGTTCGTATATAAATATTTACTTATAACACGAATACTTATGTATGTATGCTGTGTATGTATCTACAAAAGTATGTACGTAAGTAGCTTTACCACATACATAATATCTCCATGTCTTACCATTTAGCAAAAACTTCATCACGAGCGTAAATACCAAATAGGAGTATTCTGTTTCAACTCTAAACGTCTCAGGTACTGCAATGTCGAAAGTATGTTCGATTTGTTTATATTTTTAGGTATATTAATATTTTGGTATGTCCATTGTCCTTTGTTTAGCATACCTTCTTCCTTTTTACTTGTTAATAAATACACATAATAATATTATAATAATTCTATAGGCCATAGGACAATAACATTATGTTTTTGTCTTTTACATACCTGTACAAACAAAATAATTCCGCGTCTGATTGTGTCGAGTAATACAAGTCATCATTATGTGTGCCTTAGAAAAATACTATAATTTTCTGTCATTATTTTAAAAATGTAGAACATTATAATCAACGCTATTTGTACCTATTTACAATAACAAGCAAAAAGTGTAATAACAAAGCATAATCTCGTTACTCGAATAGTTGTAGGCGCCATTTTTATCGCCACTAGGTATCTCGCAAGGTGATAAGACTGGTAAGCGATGATGCGGCCTACGACAGAGTACGCCCCACAGATATATTAAAGAATTAATAATTCTTTTTTAATAACTTTTTTAATATTTCTGTGGTACGCCCAGTGTCGGCGTTAAGGCGGGGGCCTGAAAGCGCGATGACCCAGGGCGACTTATTCTGGGTGGCGCCAAGGTCTGAAGTTGGAGTCTCTTGCCTCTCCTGGTGGACCCTCAGAACTGTGCTCTACGCTCTGTGCATCTGCATATTTTTATTGAGATTTTTTTAGATGGATTTTTTGAGGGTTTGTGGTCTGCATCCTTAGCTCTGGGT